TATGGCTGCCCTCCAAGGTATCTGTCAGGCCTGATTCTCACCTGGGCGTTTTACAGAGCGTTCCTACTCTCTGTAAACCATTCAACATGTGAAAACCAATGATTTGCCTATGGGCATGGTTCCCACCTGGGCGTTTTACGCGCTGCAAAACGCCCTACGCCCAAAGTACAGGAGCTTCTTTGGGGCGTATTTGCCGCACGTTTTTTTACCGTGAATCACGGTAAAAACCCGTGACAAGCTCGCATATTCGTTACGCCTAGGTGTGAACCCAGCCTAAGACTCTATAAATGTATCTAATCTTTATCATAGTTGCCTCTGCATTCGATTTATCACTGGTTTTAGTAATAACTTAATACCTAGATCTGAAAGTAGAAGTCTAGGAAATTGTGGTGTGGTCCGGATTTGGCCCCCCGGCCTTGAGTTTGACATGTGGTGTAAGTTATGGGCCTGAATAGATAATAGATTGAACTTTGACAGTTATTAACTGTCACCAAAAGGTTCTTGCAATTAGAAATGACTGTCAATCCTGTTTTCAAATATGTTTTGTGTAAGGAACAGGTGTTACACAGAAAAGATGCAGCAAAAGTAGCACAGTTTCTTCCTTTGCCTCGGGATTGTTTTATACTTGTACTGCTTTAGCTGCTTTTCTTGCATGGCTTTCTTCCCTGTTTCTGACAACCAGCCACATTGTTGAACTAAAATACAGTAAATAGTGGTTATTTTTAGTATAGAACTAACAATTTTGAGGAAAGAGTGTCAGGTTTAAAAGTATAATTTATCATTTCCATATGAGTGCATTGAACATAAAAATGTAGTAATTCCTGCGTGAGATCTTGCAGATGTAATCCGGATATACCGGTAAGGCTGGCTCTATAGGTTGTACAGCGCCGACAGACATTGAGGCTTCAAGAAAACTATTTGCTCTGTATATAGATTTTCTCCATTATTTATTTAAAGTAGAACATGACACAGAAATCTCCAACAGTCTGGTCCTATGGTTCTATAATCATATGCCTGCCACAGAATTACATTTCTTGAGAAATTCAACTTTAAAAAAAACCCAAAATACACTTTTTTTTAAATTTATGAGGCATGTGCATCACATAATACCTCACGTTGAGCTTGATTATTCATTTTCATTTCTAGTTTATTTGGACTAAGCCAAATACTCCTTTTACTTATGTCTTGCGCTCTCCCCTTCCCAGGCACTGCAGCTCACAGTGGCAGGGTTTCAGCAGAAGAGGCAGCTTGTGAATTAGCAGTGACAATGCTGATGGTCACGTCCCTGCAACATTTTTTCATCCAACTTTAGTGAGAGTGGCGTTGCTGCTCTGAATTGAGGAGCAGTGCAGCATTGCCACACCATCACAGAAAGCTGAATAAGGTGGACTTGTCAGAACTAAACAAGTATTTGTGTGACTCTGCACTGCAGGGAAAAAGGGAGAAAACTGTAAATGCACTTGGCCACATCATATATGCTACTCTCTTGCTGCTGGTTTATTAATAAGTGCTGCAGCACATACTGTATTTTAAATGACAAGCAATTGTTCTACTTTAATTGAGAATCTAATTACCTGACAAGAACATCCACAGTGATTTTAAGGAAGAAATCTGTGCATACATATTAACGTTTGTAGTGGGGCTTCCCCTGCACTGCAAGGTTAAGTACTCTTTTTCGTCTAGGGGATAAAAATTAAAAAGTTATACTCGCCAGAACCTCAGAGCTGGCTGCTGTTTGACCAGTCCCTGGAGATGCTCCAGTGGTCGAAGTGCTTTTATTAATTACAGATATTTAGATGGTGCCGACCCAATTTAAGCAGCACTTTAAATAGTCGCAAATTTACATCAGAACAGTAGAAAGGCATCATGGCACACTCACAAACCAGCATGTAAAACAACTTGTCTCACCACTAAGGACAATGACATAGGTTTGGATACACGTCTTCTGCAAAGGATGTGTAAGCCGCACTGCCGCGCCAAGGCACCTCTTATAGTGCGGTCCTAACTCTAAACTATGAGAGTCTCCATCTTGGAGCACATGGGGGCAGAAGATATCAAGGTAACAAATTGTTGAGTGCGTTTGTCGTTTTGCAAATTTACATCAGTCCCTGCACTCAAGGAGCTTACAATTTTTAAGGTCCCTATCTTACATGCATACAGTGTATAGGAGGTGAGGATGCTAGGAGACATTCCATAGCTGGAGCAGAGTAGCAGACAGACTGGAGGGACCAGTCCAACAGGGAGCCAGCTCTGAGGTTTGGGTAAGTATAACTGTTTGTTTTTTATTTTTGTCCCTAGACAAAAAAAGAGCACATGACTGTTGCAGTATAAGGGTAGCCCCACTGCAAGGGCTAAGAATATGCCCGGAGTTCTTTAAATTCTGTTTGTATGGCCAGTTTCAGAGTTAGTGTACGTGTAATGTCTTAATGCACCCCTGACTTTACCAGCAGATCTCTTAGCTTGGATTTTACAGACTTGCTTGAGCTGCTTAATGGAGTTTTTTTTTTTTAACCCTGTCAGTAGTGTGCCAGGTTTGTACACAACCATTGCTGAAGTACAAATGCTTAACCAGCTAGATCCATTGAGCCTGCACTAAATTAATGTGGAGCAGGTCATGAGTGTATAAGAAGCACCAGCTTATACTAACTCTTGAAATTTCCATCATTTACACTCTTCTCATTTATTAAAGTAAAATTGTCAGTTTGACTATTCCGATTTGGTAGCCTACCACCACACCAGCTGATATTTACCTTCTCCATGTTGCCCTACTCTACTACTAATGCATGTTATCCCCAATGTAAGCTCTGTGTCCATGCCCCATATGGCAGTGTGCAGGCTTGGCAATCATCAGCTAAGGGGCCTAGCACAGCATTATGGGGGGAAAAGGTGAATAATGCTGGACATTTCCAATGGATACAACAGGGAAACAGTGTAGCAGGGGAGTGCAGAGAAGGTCAGTCAGGAAGGGCAGGTGTCTTATTAAGAATGAGTCCTAAATGGCAAAAGTGGCAGATTTACTTTAAATACAGGCAGTGTCAGACAGGAGCAGGGTGCGTCAATATCTATACAAATCTCTTGTTTGTATTGTTAAATCATTAGCTGTTCATATCAGAGAACACACAGAGGGGAATTTATCAAAACTGGAGCAGGCAGAATCTGAAGTGGTTGCCTATGACAACCAATCAGCTTCTACCTTCCATTTTCAAAGCTTAACTGAACAAAGTGAAGAGAGAAGCTGATTGGTTACTGTGGGCAACTGGTCCAACTTCTGTCTGCTCCAGTATCTCTGCATCCCTACTTGGCATGTTATATATATATATATATATATATATATATATAACAAATTTTTTAAAAGGGTTTTCTATTGTGTTTTTGTTCACTAAAATTAACATTTAGTGTAATTTCTACGGAAATGTTCTGTTTGATAAAGTTGCGTTGCGCTAATATTGTGTAATATAAAAGTTTGTAGCTTCTGCCATTTTATTCTATAGGGTCTGTTCTTTTAGAAAATATATAACCCTTGGAGGGTTTAAGGAATTTTTGGGGCCTAAAATGTGTATTTTTACGTGTGCAAAAACAAATAAAAATACACTGGCAGCGAAAGAGCAGACATAATTATTCTTAACCCTTGCAGTGGGGCTACCCACTGTGCTCATTTTCTTCTAGGGAGGAAAATAAGTTATACTCACCTGAACCTCGGAGCTGCCTGTTAGATAGGTCCTTGCTGCCTCACTCCCCCTCTGCTCCCGTAAGTCATCATGTCCTATACAGTGGGACATCCCACTCTGCTACTAGAGTAGCAGCCAGCCGGCTTTGAGCATCAGGTGAATATAACTTTATTTTTTAAGCATTTAACCCTTGCGTGTGGGGTAGCCCCACTGCGATGGTTAAGAATAATTATGCCCGGAATCCTTCCTTAAGCAGTTACAAAACAGTTTTATTTTTCTGTCTTTTTTTGGGGGGATAAATGTTTTAAATAAATGAATAGTAACTAACCAGTTTACATAGCTAACCATTGTAAGCACCCATGCGTTAAATTTTTTTTCTTTTACTTACAATTACTGTTTTTCCATTTCCCGGTCCTCTTGGGCATTAGTGATGTAATCTGTGCCCAAGTGTTGCATCCTGGCAAGGTTACATCACTGGGGTGCATTGCTGGGAAATTTAATCTGTAAACTGCAAAAACTTGAGAGATCTCTGGGAGGTGATATGTACTGTCACATGTTCCGTCACATGTGCCAGAGAGGTGAAGGGAGATGGATTCATGTGCCCTTAGTAAAAATAGCCACCATGAGAAGAATGCGAGGAAAAGAAAAATACGGTACGCAAAGAATAAATAACCAGCAATTATCTAGAAGTATCGGTAGATTGTCATTACTAAACATTTCTAAATGTGTCTTTGTTGTCATTTTTCAGATAATGGTGAAGTTCCTATTGAATGTCTATATGCACAGCACATGCCCTCATTGATATACATTGCAATTTGGAATGCAAGTTGCGAGCCAAGTCTTCTTGTTCAACATTGGTACCTGATTTCACAAAGACTCTTTTGGCTGAATGACAGACATACTCAAATCTTGTTGAACGATTTCCCAGAAGAGTAAAGGCTATAACATGCAACCAGGCATTCCATATTAATGCCAGTTTTAGAATGGGATGTGCATCAAGCTCATATAGGTGTCCACAAACTTTTGACCATATAGTGTATTCTCAGTAGTTTCACTACTGAATTAATATTAGCAATTCTGTGGCAAATTATAAACAGTTCATATGACTAGGTTGCGGATGCTACAGAGTGATTTCTGTAATATCTTCCAACAAATACTTCCTCCAGCGTCATAACTTGTATATAGTTATTCATGGTACAATACAAATTAGGGTAGGTTACTACAATGGATGGAATTGTAGTAGTAAGTGCTAACCTTTTGCATTAAACTCTTTTATTCTAACAAGTTTCTTTTGCCTTCTCTTTCATGTCTTCCTCTTGGATTGGGTGACAGAGTTACCAGCTGAAGAAGGTAAGAGCTCTATCTTTTCATAATGTATATAGTATAGTGTAAGATATCCATAGACATTGGCAGTTTTTTTAAATAAAAATTTTAACATCTTACCATTTACGGTAGGTAGTACAGGCATCTCTGTACAAGGTGATAGGTTTCTCTGCTGTGTGTGCCTATTGTGGACAAAGAGTTAAATTATGCAAATGTGTTCCACTAAAATATACATTAGTCATCGCTGCATGATGATCTTTCACCTGCTTTGCAGTATTTTAATACATTAATCTACATTTTTGTATATATATGATTATCACACATTGAATTATCAGGATAGCCATTGTCAGCATCTAACCTCAGAAATAGGGTTGCCACCATTTCTTCAAACGAAACTCGAACACTCTAGCAACGCGCTGACATTTTTTTGGGAGAAGAAGTTGTAACGTATTCATATGTAAACAGCGTCACCCATTCATATGTAAATATCACAGTTGAGACTATTTTCAGTGGGGGGCCAGTAACCCCTATCTTAAAGGAGAACTATGGGGTCAGGACTTTTCCTCATAGTTCTCCTTAGGGTAACGGGAAGACACAAACTAGCGTCCTCCCGTTACCCTAAGCTCAGTATACCGCGAGCTACAGCTCACGGTATACTGAGACGCCGGAGCGGATCCAGACATCGATGTCGAGATCTGCCCAGCTGCGTGAGTGACAGCTGGCTCTGCCTATCTAGAGGCAGAGCCAGCTGTACCCGCCCCCTCCCTCGTCCGTTCCGCCAGTCAGCGCTGGCGGATCGGAGCGGGGAATCCAGCCCCTCCCCTGTCACGGCAGAGAGCCGTGACAGGATCGAGAGGCGAGTGAACGCCGGTATCTGTTCTCTCACCTCCCAATCTACTGAGCCGACCTGTGACAGTCTCATTGTCATAGGTCGGCTAGAACTAGGAGGTGAGTGGAAATCACACATCTCATAGTTCTCCTTTTTAATTTTGGTTGCCCCTGTCTGCCTGGCATCTTGTGTGCAGGTTTCTGCTGCCATGAAACCCGGACACAGCATTCAAAACCCGGACTGTCCGGGTGAATCCTGGACAGGTGGCAACCCAACTCGGAAAACATATCTGGTTAGTAGAGCTTGAGGTGGGGGTCTATAACATTTTATCCTACTGAACAATTATTGGATGTCTATGAAAGAGAGAGAAAAACAAACAACAGATTGATCAGGGATATGCATCTGATTGCCATCTAAAGTATGCAACTAGCTTAATTTGTTTTTGCTTTCCTACCCCTTTTTTTTGTTTTATTGTATAGGCTTGCACTTTTTCTAGCTCAAGGCCTCAGGGAGGAGCTTGGTAAAGAAAGTTATTATTTATCCAGACACAGAGATTGCTATGCAAGTTTGGTGTATGTAAGCAATGAAATACATCACAGTTTCAGATATTGTAGCTAGGTAATGTAATAAATTAGCCATTATCTTAAAATGATCAATACTCAAGAATGTTGAACTTGAGCCTTTTGTAGTCTAGCTAAATGCATAGTAATGCCATTGTGGGGCAAACATTGACACAGAACTCGCATGTTTAATACTTTACATGTTTCATCGTTCTAGGTAAATCTCTATGGGAACTAGTAGTGGAACAGTTTGAAGATCTCTTAGTACGGATACTTCTCCTAGCTGCATGTGTATCTTTTGTAAGTAACATTTTAGGTTTCTTTACGTTTGTGCTACCATGTGGAAATACTGTTTATGCAGCAGACTTTTTTTTATATATATTACCCACCATGATGGGTTATCACATCACTCTCAAAGTTTATTCTTTGACCTTTCTTCTGTCATGCTCAAAATGCTTAGAGTACATTATTGGAAAAATTACAAATTTCTGACCACCAGTTCATCCAGAATGTTACTGGATGTGCATTTTTACATGTGAAGGTTAAAATATAGCGCAAAGTTCTAACTGTTCCTGTCGGCTATCATATTGAAAAAGTTGACAACTTTTTCAATAATCGATTATAATCGATTATGTCGATTAGTTGTTGCAGCCCTAGTATACAGCCATTACATAAAAAAGTTAGTAGCTCCTCTCTTTTATTACTGAGCATAATCAACTACTGTATAATGACAGCTAAATGCAGGTGTGAAATTCTTTGTTTGAAAGCTTATTATCCAGAAAGATTTTAGACAAGTAATATAAACATTATGTTCATGGTATGACAGTGAAACATATTTGTTATTTTTTTTTTTTTTTTTTATGTAAGCAACTTGTAGCAAGTGCCATCGCTATTGATCAAAGACAAAGGTCACCATAAATTCCTATTTTAAATTGTTTGAAAAAGAAAATGGTTTAATCATCTTCTTGCTGCATTTTTATGGAAGAAAAGTCCTGTAGGATGATGTCTTCCAATATTTGTCACTCTGCCCTATAAGTGTGGCATAGGTTTAATGCTTCTTCCAATGGGCTTTCCATTATGCAATTACAATAATAACTTTAGAGTCTAGCAGTGAGAGTTTTACATTGATCTAATGAGATCAATGTTGGGATGTAGTCGGGATATCTGGAGAGGCCAGGAAAGATGGCTTGTTGGTGAAGTCACTAGCATCCACCCAGTAGTGCGTTTTGGATAGACTTGCCCTTCAAATTAATCTTGCAATTGGAGTATACCATTTCTCACAGTAAGCTTATAAAATGTTTGCTGCCCCTTTTTTTTTTTTTCTTGTCCTGTGTTGCCCAAATATTTCTTCACGTTGTGAAAATGCTTCTTAAAATGAGCAGCTGAAGCTACTGTAAAAATGCAAGTGGGTAGCTTACACTTCATGCTACAGCTATGGAGTGACTCCCAAACACAATGAGTAGGAGGTATAGTAAGAATTTATTGAAGTAAGCCTTAAATTTTACTTTGAAAGAGTTCCTGCAGTGTGTGTGGGAGTGAGATTTTTTTCCTGCTGTTTACAGCATGTGAGTCAGAACTATGCAGATTGATGTAGAATCCAGAAGGATGAGCAAGGTTAGAGCACTGAAGGAAAAAAAACTATAATGTACAGACTGCTATTGTCCCTTTTTATTTAGTGCTTTCCATTGTTCTTTCTGGGTTAAGAGGCTGCAGTCTTGAATCAAAACAGACTTTGACACATACTTTTCACCTTTACTGATTTTGTATGTCCTGGTCAGTTTTCACTTATTTTATTTACTCATTACTATTTATCAATGTATATTTTTCTTTACATGTTCCACAATACAGACATTTGATGTAAATATGAAACCATGATATAAGCAAAGAGTCCAGTTGGGGAGCCCCAACAAACTCCAGTATACTGATATAGTGGTAGTTGTAGCATGTACTGTCAATTCATAGTTTGTCAGCCTTGTTTGTCATTGTGTTTGAAAGAAGAAATGTGAGCCAAAGGCTAGGTCCACTAAAAAACAAAATAACTGTTAAATGCTGCAAAAATAAAACACTTTGCAGCTTACTTATTTTAAGGTAAAACTTAATTGGCTAAAATTCCTGTAATGCTCATCAAGTTTTGATCACTTTTTCTGACGCCTTTTGATAGTGTTTTCCTCTCAATCTCTGTTTTGCAGACATATTACTGGTACAGGCAGTAAGAGGAAATGTCCTATAGGGTCACGGACATAAAAAAAAGTTGAGTAGATCTGTTATTGTTTTGCCACTGTTGGAGAGATTGCCCCTAACTTCCTTTCACTGATAAGGAAGGGGGGGGAGCAATTAACACAACAGACAGAGAGCAATAAACAGAGGATTCAACCCTTGTGCACTATAAAAAAAAATGTGGGTGTTCTACTTTAACGAATACAAGAGCAGCTATGCAGCAGGCACGTGTTTTGCTAAATTGGCTTTTACTCTCCCTGTTTTGCATGGAGTTCATATTAGTGTGCAATTCCTGTTTTTTTTTTTGATCCTTAAGGTATTTCATCCATGTTATGATATAAACATTGGTTAGATTGAATTAATTTGTCTAATCTAGCAAGAGCGTGTTCGTTCTTTCTGTAGCCTAAGTGCCCATTCACACTGGGCGTTTAATCGTGTGATTTCCGCCGCGTGATATCATGAGAAGTCGTCGTCCAATGATTTTCAATGGAGCTGTTCTATTGAACAGCTCCATGTCGCGGTCGCTTGTGCGAGACCCTTTTTCAAGCGGACGTCGCGCGATTTCTCTATTTGTGCATGCAGCCCGAGGAAGATCGTCGCCCTGAACAGTCGCGCTCTCCCAGCTGCGCGGATCCGCTCGGGGTAAGTGCCGCTTAGTGTGAATGGGGCCTTAGGTAGAGCTCAAGGAGACTTCAGCTGAAATTTTATGCAATGGGCAGATTACATGTTTTGTGTTTGGTGCCAGAAGTTACATTTCAGGGGAATAGCTATACCAGCCATATATGAAACAGTCAGACAAATGGTGAGGTTAACCAAAATTCCTCTTATTAGTTTACTTGACACTCTAAGTTTAAGAAATGAGGCTGCATTCTCCCTCTCCCTCTATAGAATCTCTATCTCTCTATCCATCTCTGACTGATGTAATAGAGATTTTGTTCTCAGTTTTCCGAATGTAACCATATTTTGTTGCAGTATCACCTTTGTTCAATTTACAACAGGAAGTAATAACATTTCCTCAAAGTATTGGAACATCTACATAATCTGACCTAATTCAGAACAGTTTTATATTATATTACAAATACACACAGGATACCTTTTGGGTGGCAGCCATTTAACCCACCAGTAAATGTCTTGGTTGTAAATCAAAACCACAGAACTCATGGAAATTCTAAACAAATATGAGCGTTCTGGTGGGAATTAAATCAAGCACACCAGCTCGGCAGGGTGCAAATATCAAGCACTTTAGTTTTTGGGACGATTGAACACTTAAACTCTTAAGCAGAACTCGGGGCAAAAAAAAAACCCCTAACCCTTGCAGTGGGGCTACCCCCGCACTCCAAGGGTTAACTGTTCAGGGCCTGTTCACATGAGTTTCAGGTGCGGATTTTTTTGCTTGAGTGTGGCTGTCAGTATGTTAGCTGCAGTGCAGTGCGTTTTTGACACGTTTTGCATTTCCGGACCGTTTCCTGATCGTACAAAATGTGACATGCAGTCTTTTTCTGTCGTAACCTGAACGGACTGCGCACGTAAGAACTGTAGCCCATAAAACACATAGGGATACATTGGGATGCATTTTTAGTGCAGGAGCGTACGGATCAGGTCAGCACAGAAAACGGACGTCGTGTGAACAGGCCCTGAATGGTCTAACAGCCAGCCAGGATCGCAGTTTGGGTATTTTCAGTAATTTTAGCTGTTATTTTATTTGATGAAGGGGTCATCCTTCCACCTCATGTCTATTTTTTTCTGGAACCAGTAGTGATTTTAAAGGACTCGTTCACACCATCTGGGACATGGTATGTTCCATATAATGCACCCCCTGCAGGGTGGTGTGATGCACGCATTTCACAGTTTACCATTTAAAAAAAAAACTTTTATTGAATTGTCATATAACTCTATGCAGCATAGCATGTTGTAACATGAGTGCCTAAAAATGCATGTATGGTGTGAACAGGGCCCATAGAAAACAATGGTTTTCTAAGTCCCCCTGAGTTCAGTTATATAGCATTCCTAACTGCTGAACAAATGACCTCTTCATGCAACTACACTTCAGAAGCGGGAATTGTATATTCCTTTTGTGATGGGATGCATTTTAAACCTAATGGTGAAGACCACACTTTAAAGTGATTGGTACAAGTCTGAGCTATGGTCTACATCAAGGGTGCACAAAATAATATGGAATTCAGGAGTCAGTTTGTCCAATCCAGGAGTCAGCATCGATTTTGTTAGGAGCCAGCTCCCTTGACATCACTTCGCTTAAACCTAAAAAGTTAGGAGCTAGCTACAATTTTAAATAACATTGGCTTCCTGGCTCCTAGGTTTTGTGCCCCAGTCTACGTGTGCCACATAAATGTGCACTTATCATGTGATCTACTTTATAATTATGTATAGCCCAGGAATAGGGTAGATGAAGTGTGGTGACTTTACTAATAGTGCAGTAGTGCAAGTATGTCAATTTCCTAAATATTATTTTTTGTTAGCAGTCTGTCTGCAAAATATGTTTGTTTTTGCAGCAGTGCAGCCCATAGAAATCATCTAAGCAGTTGCTACCTGGTTCCTGGAAGTTGCCAATGTAGCCTGTTGAACAGGTGTTTGCATATTAAAATATGTTAAAACACATATTTAAAGAACTGAAAATGTCAGTGATCACTCAGTGACTATAAATTGTACTTTTCAGCAATTAATAATGTCATTATTCAGATAAAGAGCTGTTCTATTCATAGACATTGTAATGCTGTCCATTTTAACAAGAGAATCATTTGGCAAAAGGAGACTGTTGGGTGGACGCTTCCTTGAATGGAGATTATAATTGGAGGTAGATTGTTCCTTAAAGAATTTTGGTGGTCAAATATAGTGCAATGATGCACGCCAACCCATGACAAGTAATCAGATGTCAGCTGAAAGACAATTGGAGGCAGTTTTTAGATAAACTGCTACAGGTTTTTGCTCTTTGCAGTTTGCTTCATTAATTTGATTTGCCTCGGCTTATTGCATGTCTTTGAAAATCCAGAGAGAAGATATTTATATCTGCATTTCCAGTTTTGTTCTCAACTACAGCTTTTATGAAGCTGTCTTGCAATTCCTAA